ACTTTTAGTTAATCGAAAAACTTCCTTCATGTAAGAACTTCTTTAAAACCCTTTGAAAGATAATCTTAATAAACAGGCGAAGGAATTATATATTTGGAGATACAACATTTTTGTCCAAAGGTATAAAAATATGAAATTGGGGTGGTGTGCAGCATGAAAACGATGCTTAATATATTATAATGAGTTTGATTACTGATGAAAAGATGAAGGTCTAACCTATGTCTGCATCTAAAACCATAATTGCTTTCACCAACAATTTTATGTCACCAAAGGAGTGCTAATTCAAAGGATTTCCTGACGTGCTTTCCACAAATTTCCACGCACGTATATAAATAAAAGAAAAACTAGGAATGATTAAGATTAAAAATTGTGGATGATAATATTTAGATTGTGACGATTAAATGCGATCCTTCCTTTTTGATTTTAGTGAGGAGTTATAGTCTATAGTTTACGGTAGTGTAACAAATGGTTTTAATCATTTGATTTTGAAGATTTTTAAGAAGGAAAAACGAAGAAGATAAAGACCCCCTCCTCCTTAATCTCGGATAAGGGATTTTATAATGACCTTTAACATTAGTGTAAGGTCTAAGATCATGATGGTTACTTGTAAGCTGGCAGGTTGAATAGATATAATCATTTGACAAGTAATTATGTCATAGTCATGTCAAAAGAAGATGAATGATAAGAAAAGATGATTGTCTAAAGAGTACGAAGTTTGTGGTTGAAGGAGAAGGACCCTCAAAAGATCTCTTTTTATTCCAGAAACTTTAATTTTCAGCAAAGTTATTTGTAGAAAAGATTCGGACAAAGTATAATGAAATTAAACTCAAATTATGAAATAGGAAAATATAATTCTTATTTAAAATTTGTTCACCTTTTGTTTTTTTATGTATGATTAGTTACAAAGACAAGAATAGATGGATATTGAGTTGTGGTTTGGGTTTCATTAACTATAAACAGCAGAAAAATTGTAATAATTTAGAATAGGATTTGAGTGAGGCTATGGGGAATCAAAAGTCAACTCTGTTAATAAAATTATGTTGGCCAATGGAATCAAAGCAGATACTGAAAGGGGTTCCAGGAGGATATCCCTCTACACTTTATTTATTTATATTTTAAACATTGGAGATTCTTGAGCAAATTTAATTTAATTTAATTACTACTTTGTTCGTTTTCAACTGTTGATGAAAAGCTACTATCCGATGTGGGTTTGAGTTGGAGATGCTTTTGCAGTTGTTAAGGATGATATGGAGACGCACATAGCACTGATTTCTTTAAGGATCACAAATCTTTCAAGTGTGCAACACATCATAATTATGATTATATATAGGTTTAATATAAAAATAAGTGATTAAATTATATATTTTTAAGGTAATGTCTATTTTTTTCGGTCAATCTAGGTGTCTAACGTTACAAATATTATCATTTTAGGTGTACGATTGTAACGACCGTTAAAAAGTTCCGTTAAGTGACACGTGTCACGTTTAAGTAATTTGAAATGTTTATTTTTAAAAAAAATTAAAATATACTATATTTTAAAAAATTCTAATTTCTCTACAAATCCTAAATCCCTAAATTTAAAAGTAACATCGTCCTTGTCGGCCACAACTGTCGATGTCATCCTTTTCATTTCCCTAGTTAGACGTCTTCATCCTTGCTGTCGAGATTACATGTAATCATGATTTGCAACATCGGGGTTCGTTGGGGGTTGCATCGATTGACCGTCGATTGACTCATGTTCTGATGAATCTTCATAGGGTTATTGGTCGTTAAGTGAAGGTGAGGTCCGGTGGAGGTTCGACAGTGATAAAGGATGGTGGCCGACATGAGTTTAGAGATTGAAATTAGAGTATTCAAAGTTTTGGGTTTTTTTTAAAGTTTTTTAAATATAATTTATTTTTTATTTTAAATATAATTTATTTTTTATTTTAAATAAAATTTCAAAATTACCAGAACATAACACATGTCACTTAACGGGGCTTTTTAACGGTTGTTACGGACGAGACACCTAAAGTAGTAACGTTTGGCACCTAGATTGACCGAAAAAAAATTAGACACCACTTTGAAAATAATATAATTTGGACACTTATTTTTACATTAAGCCTTATGTATAAATCTTGTTGTATCATCTCCAATTTTTTTTTGCAAGTTCATTTTCCATATATCCAAATTTTGAGAATTTGTGCAGAGAAAGTTTGAGGAGAACATTTTTCGAATAAAGGATCTTAGAATATTTCTGACAGGAGTCTAATCTACGAGTAGTCATTACAAACACCAGCTATAAGAGTCATTATAAAATCTCTCAAGTAAGATTCAAGGTCGTGGCTAAGTTATTGGAGGCCATGTGCAAATTCTTGTAAAGGGCCCTTAGATCTCGAACTTATTTTTTTAAAATAATAAAAAACTTACAGTTGTATTAAACTGAGCAGACCCACTGACATTATTTTTTCGAAAAATAATTTTACTTGTTAACGAGATTCGAACTTAAGATCAACAAAGTCATTGACCTAATGATCTAACCACTACTCTATATTTATTTTTCTGCTTCTTAATTGGCAATAACTGATAGATATACTCTATTTCGAAACCCTTATTTTTTGAGGCCCTGCGCCTTCGCGTCTGCTCAGCCACGCCCCTTGTAAGATTTAAGAGAGAAATCATACACCTTCACCTCCACCTTTCTTTCTCTTCTTGCTTACGGAACTAAAGGATCTTGATACTAATCAATGATTGTTTAATTACTGATTGCAGTTTTTCACTTAAATCAAAAGGATTAAAACCCTTACGATCATTTTAACCACTTTATTCGGATCAATAAAAACTGATAAGACTGAATGAACGAATTGAACGTCTTTGGATTAACTTGAGATTTGATGGCTATTGGACTGAAATAAAGGGCAGATGAGATACCTAACAATATGATATGGAGAAGATCACATGCAATACTGATTGGATGGAGGATTTAAATTTATTTTCAAAGGTGGAATCCGACAAGAATCATTGACTTCAACTTAACCACGCATGCATATATTGTATTTATATAAACAATATGGTCAGTTTTAATTGCACAAAACCCATCTTATCTTGTTATTAAAAACATATCGTAAATGGAGAGGTGGTGGATCAGTGACGAAATCTCTCTAATAAATTTTAAAAAATTAACAAGAATGGTAAAGTTCAATATATTTATTACCTCCTTGCTATTATTAAAAGTCTGACCTTTCTCTTGTTTTAATTGAAAATTCACATCTTTGCTGGATAGTGGACGCTGCCATCGCGAGCAAGCAGAGTATATATATATCATGGAGAAAAAGTGCAAAGCATTTCTGTAAAGTTAAACATTTGGCTTTAATTATGTAATTAATTTGCAATTCCCACTTTAACAAAATCTTGTGCACAACGACTCTAATATGAATTTACACATCATCATGATGCCTTATTATCCGATAATGTAAAATGATTTAGTTGGACAGAAAAACTAACACAAGCTTTTGATTCCGATTTTCTTCTCTATCAGAACAACATTGTCTGTTGGTTACCCTTAACTGAGATTCTGATTTTTAAGGGTACTTTAATGAAATTGTCTAACTAGAAATGTGGTCCTCATAGGCTTTGATATTAAACTCATGATATATATGAATATTTAGAAGGGGATTATAAATAGAATTTTGCAGCAAATGTCACTTTGTAATCAAGTCGATTTGCCGCATATAAACCACTATAGTTCTACAAAAGGATAAAAGATGGACCATTTTCCCCATCAAGTTGCCCTAACACACATCGTCACTAATTAGGACAGTTATGGTGAAATTGGATTCAGTTTTTGGTAATCCATTCTTTTTATTTAGACGAAGAGTTGCAATTGATTATTTGATGCAGGAAAAATAGAGAGCATACAAACTATAGATGACAATGAACAGTTTCGAGAGAGAAAAAAATCTTCTTTTTAACCTTGCATTGTGATTTATATATTGTTCCTCAACATTAGTATCAGACTTAAGATGACAATTGATTATTTACATGTTGACAGGTAAAATAGAATCGACTGTCAGATAATTAATTGCAGATCACGTGAATTTGTTGGTAATCACATCAACATGTATCTATAGGAAGAATATAAAACTCTGAAGGTTTTGAGGAACTCCAGATATCTTATGAAACTTCGAAGACTTAAAATAACAGTAGATACAGAACTTTCTTAGGAAAAAGTACAGCAAGAACTCTCTTAATTTGTAGCTATATATATCAATCTCCGAACACCCGGACTTCATCCGGTTTTGATTGGGGGAAAAAAGTAAAGACTCTTTTAGGTACCCGGGAAAACTAATATAATCCCAGGTCAACATAAAAATGTCGTCAGATAAAAGAATTCAGGCTTTCGTCATAGACTTAACCTCAAACCCAAAGCTAGGATTGAAGAATAAGAAGACCACTAGAGACCACCCTCATTGTGCCTCAACACCATCAGCTTGCTATCCTCAACCTCACGGCCACCACTTCTGGTTAATGCCAAACAACCCTCAACATTCTCGTGACCGGCCCTGAAGCTCTCCGGTGCTTCGTGTGATGACCCTGTAGCTTATATTCAGGACTGGAAACCGAGTTAGAACAAGTCAGGAATTGACCATTATCCATCTTTATCAATTTGGATCTTTTCTTCGGATCATAAGTCCCAGCATATATGGCTTGATGTAGGAGACAAGTCTAGAGTGTTATCCATACATGGGTGGGGTGGTTACTAAGCCTTTTCCATTATCGCCGGTTATGCTTCAGTGCATTTACCAAGCATTGAATCTCACGTGCCAGAGTCACAACACAGTTCATCCCCATCATACTCGATGCACGAATAAAAATTCCAATTAAATTCCATAGAACAGAAGCAACAGGACAAAAATCAAAATGCCATAAGCATCCTCGTAAGTTGTTTAAATTGGAGAAAACAATAATCCTAAGTGTATGTACATAAACAAGTGCGTCGGTGAAAGATGAATGATCCAAGTATTGCATAAACCTATATCGACAAGGTCTCGGGTATATCATCGTGTTTACTAACTTATTAAACACACCCAAAAACAAATCAGCATGTATCCCCATAATATGTGGTTTTGCTAAGGCAACAGGCCAGATCAACTGACCTTACACGAGAGCCCTTGGTAAAATTTAGAAGCATCAAGTTGTAAAAAATCACTGCCCGGAATTTCCCAGGAGTCTCTCAACCGCAGCATGGACATTACCAGACGTAGCGCGAAGTGCCCTGATCTTGCGTATCATAGAAACCCATTTCTTGGAGTTGCGATAATTGTGTAGCAAACAGTTCTTCCGGAGGAACTGGAGAACCAAAAACGAAGAAATTAGTAGTGATCTAAAGTGTTCATATAGATGCGAAAAGATAAAAGAATGCTAATCATCAGGTTGGTTGGGAACACTGAGGCTACCAGCACCTAGTCCACCAAACATATTCATCAACAAATCCAGACCAGCAGTAGGGACTGCTCCTGAAAATGCAATTAAACAAAATGAAGTACAAAAAATCAAGATAGATGAAAGAAGAGCTGGTGAAGGGAGGTGGCAATGCAAACTAGAGAGTTTAATGTTAGAGAGAACCCTTGAAACTTCAAGTGCTTTTCATGCCGTTTGTAGAGAAAATTCATAGCTACAGTTTGGTTTTTATTTATTTTGTACCTGCCGTAGCACCTGTCCGTGCAGAATCCCTGTATGAAAGCCAATTATGATTAAAAGGAAAGAAGAAAAGCAATGATATAATTAATCATCGAGGCACGATTAATAAAGGCATGTTTAATATCCATGAAGATTAAAATATACAGAAGGGCCAAATGGCCAAATGAAAAACATAGTGAATTTGATTCTGTTTTTTTGAATCCCTAAAATGTCCAATCTGGCTAGAAATAATCATCTATTATTAGACCTGTCAACTTTGACGCAACCACAAAAACCAGATCTGATTTGATCATGAGAAATCAACAAACTGAACCCGTCCATCTGACCCGAACTCAAATTATCATTTTAAAAATATAATTGAAATTATAATTATCATTATTTTATCAACATAAAACATGCAATTTCAACTTGAACATTTTTTAAGAGATGGTATAGTTGCTTATGAGTCTATCTGAGTTTTGGGTTAAACAACTAAGTGCATGTACATAAGGATTTAAGGTTTAGGGTTTAATCAAAATAATTCTAGATCGAAACTGACTTAATCAAATTGAATTTGACCAGATTGATTCAATTCAGTTGGTTAAAACTTAAATCAGTTGTGAATTTTCTCACTATAATGGGATAAGTGATTGTGTAAGATACTTATTTATATGTTATATCATAAAAATTCAAAGGTAAAAGAATGATTTGTTTATAATAACTTTAATGGTCAAATAATATATATATATATATATATATATATATGACTGAATATTAAAAATAAGTTTAAATTGAATGATACCCAATTCAAAATAATCATAAGTAAACTCAAATCACTGAAAATGAAATGTCCATGAACCAAAATGACCCGAAACTGAAACTAACCCGACCCAAAATTGACACAAACCCGAAACCGACCCTTCCCGAAATCAACCCAAGAATGACCCGATTGGAATTCAAACTGAACAGAACTCGACCTGTCCAATTGACAGGTCTATCTATTATGTATAGGATACAAAAAAAATCTTTGTTTGATCAAGAAACCAGAGATTAATTCACTTTAGAAAACAATTCTGATATTTGTAACAGCAGCATGTACAGCACTTGGGACAACCATAAAAGCAAGCATAGAAAAAAGGCAAATTGAGGTTTTCACCAGTGGAATAGACAAAGGTATGACTTACTCAGTTGATTGCTGTCGGTTGAGCTGAGACAGAAGAGACTGCTGTAAAGCTAGCATTTGCTGCAATAAAAGAAAACAAGGGAAAGCAGAACATAGGTGAGTTTTTGTCAAAACATTACTTCGAAAAATATTAAATAAAACCAATAATAACCAGTGGGGTAGCGTTAACATCCCTATAAGACCATATCATATAGGGTGACCCCATATAGAAGACAAAAGATTCAAAACCTTAAAAGTCACGTAAGCATTTGAGAGAGTTTTTTATAGGGAAACGGTGGCGGATTGATGAACGTTACTTTTGTTGAAGAATCAAACTAGAAAGCTCTAGACTCGATGAAGAACAATGGGGAATGAATAGGGGAAGGTGGCGGTAGCGATTAGGGTTCTCGGGATTTCTTTTAGGTACTGGAAACAAGGTAAGAAACAAGATTAAAACAAGATAAAGAAAAGATAAAGGAATTGCAAATAAAATAAGATAACCAATAAATCAAAAGATCTCCCTTATGAAGGTGAACGGTAAAGATGATTGATGGAGTGGATGGATATGTGAAAAATCGATGAATAATGTCCTATCGAGCCCTCCTAGTCGCAATGAAAAGGAAAACACGATAATATGACTCTAACCAACCCTCCTAATCGCAATGAAAAGTCAAATTGGAGTGTGAAGATTAATCTCCCTCACAAGAACTTGAAAGAACTCAAGGAGAAGAAGCTTCGAAGGCACAAGGCAATCAACACTTGCAAAAACGAACTCTCGTTGTATTATTAATCAAAAAAATCTTAAATTACAAAGTTTAATGAAGCCTTCTTTATATAGGGGCTGAGTTCTAAAGGTCCTAAATAACTAATGAATAAAATAATAATAAACTAAACATATCTTAACTCTAATTCCTAATAAAATAATAATAACTAAAGATAATACTTTTAACCCAACCTTAATTCTTAATAAAATAATAAGTATAATCCTAAAAGATAATGCATCATCTTATATTAAGTTATATTACAAATAATCAATAAAAATATTGAAAATTCGTAATATTTACAAAATCTCGTATTAATCCCGTATAGGATTTTCTGCATGCACCGTCTTCAGAAAAATAGCCATATCTTGAGTTCCCGATATCGGATTGATGCGATTCAAGAACCGTTGGAAAGATAAGAGACATAAGGTCGTATCTACAGGAGACATCTTGACTAAATAAGATCAGTATCCCATTTAAAAAGTCGTCATAAGTCTACTTCTGTTCTTATCTTCTTTTCCAATGCTTGGACGAGTGGATCATTTGGAAGAGTTATTACTTCTTCCTTTGATGTGAGCCTTGTGATGCATGTATCATCCTCTCTTTCTTCAAAAAGATTCAACCTCAAATCTGAAACATTAAAGGGAGCAACATTAGAATCGTTTAATGATTCATTCATATTATACTTACCGAATAGATATGCTTTGAATCTTCGAGACTTTGTTCTTCTAATAGGTTCGAGTAGAAACATTAGTCCAAAGAAGCATGTATTATGGACTCTGGTGCATGTATCATTCCCCCACTCCTTAAAAGGATTCGTCCTCGAATCTGAAGATCCAAGAGAAAGAGACTTAGATGTGTTGAAAGGAAAACTTGTGAAACATTTACCAGGATCAATGTGATGTGTCTTTATGCGTTTCAGTCGAGGTTTCTTCTTTGTAGGAACTGATTTCTTGTACTCTTGAAATCCTCTTTTGTATATAAGACTTGTAATCTGATGTTTAGGTTGAAGTTCAACATGGCGCCGACCACTGCTGGCTTTATGTATAATTGCTTCAGATAATTTCTCCATGGTTATATTTGTGTGTGGTGAGAATGAGTGTTTAAAAACCATGTCATCTGGTTTGTTAAAGTAATACCTTAAGTCTCCTAAGTGTGGTTCATGAATTAAGAATTCTCGGGAGGAGATTTGTGGACTATAGAACCTGGTTAGTTGGCAAGAAAACTTATATACAAGATAAAGCTCATTAAAAGCACTTTTAAAAGTATGGGCAGAAATATCAGAAATATCCGAGTTATTGTGATATGCATCTTTGATATGTTCAATTCTCGGAATAGTAGTATGTGTTTGATAGGTAAGAGTATACCTTCGTGGTAGTGCATTGTCTACTGTGTTTTGCTTACCTCGGTATGTTACGTACTTAAAGGAGTTGTGTTTAGTATGGATGACAACTTCACGAGCCTTACCTTGTAAGAAGGAGAAGAAGTACGTTACAATGTCATTAGAATGAGTAATAAAATACTTACCTTTGGACTCTCGTAAATCGTGATTCTTCATTGATATGACATGGTGATTAGGGCTTTCAGGTGGTAACCCATCAGAAGGGTCACCTAGCACTATTCGACAACTCATGGCGATGGAAGATGGTGTGGTCCAGTCTCCTGTTGCTTTTACTTTCTCATCATTTACATGGATTCCCTGTGCACGAACTATAAAGCATGTGGAGTTGTTCAAGTCATGTTTCTTCATTAAGATGGCGTCACGACTAAGGCTTTCCTGGATGTAGCCTTTTTGTAACAAATCTAACTCTTTGGTTTCTTCGAGATTGTATGTTTGACGAGGTATGATGGAACCTTGAATTAGATTGGTTTGGTATTGTTTTTCTCTTTTCGGTGGTAATTTGTTAGGTGGATCACCTAATACTTCTCGAAAATCCTGTAACAAAGATGAAAACACACTAGGCAAATCCTTGTTAATGTTAGAAATCAAAACAATTGATTCTCTAAAGCGAACAAGGATGGAAGGTTGTTTGTAAAGAAGATTCTCTCTCAATTCTTTTGTACTCACACATAGATTTTGAGTTACTCTTTTCTTCTCACAATTAGGTTCACTCACCTCCCATGGGTCATTATTCTTTTGGGTTTTGTAACTAGTGACCTCTTTTTCTTTTGCCTCTTTCTCAGTTTTTTCTTTTTTTGCTTTCCCTACCTCCTCTCAAATTATCATTTGATCTTTAGGGGCTGGAAGTGTGTCATTCTTTGCTGGTCGTTCTTTTTTCTTGTCAGGTTTGTCATCTCTTAGCTTTTTTAGAGAAGATGGAGTAGAAGATGAGGAAGTATTTGAAGGATTACCTTGGTAAGAGGATGAAGTACCTTGGTAATTTTCTCTGAATCGGAATCTCCTTTAGATTTGTGCTTCGATTGTCATTGCTTTCTTTAGTGTATCTTCAAGGTTTTCGTATCCATGTAGATCAAGAAGATAAGTGATGTTTGAGTTTAAGCCGACGACGAATCTTGACACGGTGACCTCTTCTTTTTCGGTTATGTTAGCCCTATTGAGTAAGGACTGAATCTCCTTATAGTAGTCTTCAACTGAACTTCTACCTTGTCGAAGTCGGTGTAGTCGTAGTTTAACTTCTCGTGTATAATGTGTCGATAGGAATCGCTTCCTCATGGTTTGTTTGAGGTCAGTCCAAGAAGTGATTGTTGGAATTTGGAAGTTCTGGATCTTTTTCCTTGTTTCCATCCACCAAGTTCGAGCATATCCTTCGAATTGCATGGTGATGAGGGGAACTTGTTTAGCTTGGGGGTAGTCATGGTATGCGAACATAAGATCAACTTTTCCTTCGCAATCGATGTACCTGTCCGGATCATTGTCTCCTTCGCAATCGGGTGCTTGAAAACGTGGTTGTTCTCGCCCTGGTACCAAAAGTTCAGCATTGTTTGGTCTTGGATTCTGGTTTGGTAGATCCAGTTGTGGTTTTTGTCGTTCTCTTACGATTTCATCAAATCTTTCAACTTGAGTCATGAGTCAGGTAAGTGTGGCTAAGATAGCCGTAAGTGTCTTGTTGTTATTGTCGCCCATCCTGAAATCATAACACTAAAAGAAAATTTTAAAGTAAAATAAAAATAAAAGGAAGAAAATTCAACAAAGCAAGAAACCTTACAAGTCACTCCAAGAAAGTAACACAACGAGAGGCAAGTAAGCCGATCTTGTACTCTTTAAAACTCACTTTACCAAGTAGTCTTCCACAGTTCGTATTGGAGTTTGATTACTAGCAAAGGCGATAAGAAAAAATTTTAAAGTTCTAAGAGGCCAAACAAGGGTTAGACTCCAAGAGAACGAGAATGCAAAGAAGGAAGAAGTATGCAAACTATTTAGTCCTACTAACACAAGGAAGATAATGTGTTAGATAATGCAAAAGAACAATAACAAGGAAAAACAAAAGAACCTAAAGAACTAAGAGTCAAAGAAAAAGGGACGAAACCAGAAAACCTAGAAAACGCTGGATCAACTTGAGCTACGTTTTTGAGGGGGTTACCGGTGTCCAAAAATTCTGGAAAATTTTTTGAATGTCTTTCGATGCGTCAAGAAACCAGCTGTAAAATTTCAGAACCAAATACCTTCAGTAGTATCCAGTAGACTCTGTTGAACGGTGAGTCCTCAAACAATCTGTTTTTCTTGATCGCTTTGTTCGAAGTTGTTCTTGATCTCCAAAAATTCTGATGTTTTGTGTGCATTATCTCCAATATATGAAGTTTCAATCTGGAATTTTTCACCACAAAATTCCTCCTGTATAATTTTCAAGAAATTCGACAATATTCTAGACCGAATCTGTCGATAAAACTTTAATGATGTATTTGAAGGCTCTAATGAACTCTGATTGAAGTGAATTTTGGACTGGAGATTACACTTAAGATGACTATGATATCTCGAGAAAATAATCCCTAAATACCTTCGTTTGCAATTTTTTGAAATTTTAGCTTTTTTGTTTTGTTTTGTTTTTTTTCCTTTTTTTTGGAAAAAAAATAACAAACTAACAAGAATGATTTGAATCTAAATTAAAGTTAAATAAAAATAACCTGAAACGATGAATCTTCTCTGAACTAGCTCCGTTGGGGTACCCTAACGGTGTTGTGTGCAAGAACAAACAAGATTGCTTGCTTCTTTCCAAGAATCGGCCCAAATCTGATACCAATTGATAGGGAAGCGGTGGCGGATTGATGAACGTTGCTCTTGTTGAAGAATCAAACCTAGAAAGCTCTAGATTCGATGAAGAACAATGGGGAATGAATAGGGGAAGGTGGCGGTAGCGATTAGGGTTCTCGGGATTTCTTTTAGGTACTGGAAATAAGGTAAGAAACAAGATTAAAACAAAATAAAGAAAAGATAAAGGAATTACAAATAAAATAAGATAACCAAGAAATCAAAAGATCTCCCTTATGAAGGTGACCGGTAAAGACGATTGATGGCGTGGATGGATATGTGGAAAATCGATAGATAATGTCCTATCGAGCCCTCCTAGTCGCAATGAAAAGGCAAACACGATAATATGGCTCTAACCAACCCTCCTAGTCGCAATGAAAAGACAAATTGGAGTTTGAAGATTAATCTCCCTCAGAAGAACTTGAAAGAACTCAAGGAGAAGAAGCTTCGAAGGCACAAGGCAATCAGCACTTGCAAAAACGAACTCTCGTTATATTATTAATCAAACAAATCTTGAATTAAAAAGTTTAATGAAGCCTCCTTTATATAGGGGCCGAGTTCTAAAGGTCCTAAATAACTAATGAATAAAATAATAATAAACTAAACATATCTTAATTCTATTTCCTAATAAAATAATAATAACTAAAGATAATATTTTTAACCCAACCTTAATTCCTAATAAAATAATAAATCTAATCCTAAAAGATAATGCATCATCTTATATTAAGTTATATTACAAATAATCAATAAAAATATTGAAAATTCGTAATATTTACAAAATCCCGTATTAATCCCGTATAGGATTTTCTGCATGCACCGTCTTCATTAAAATATCCATATCTTGAGTTCCTGATATCGGATTGATGCGATTCAAGAACCGTTGGAAAGATAAGAGACATAAGGTCGTATCTACAGAAGACATCTTGACTAAATAAGATAAGGATCCCATTCAAAAAGTCGTCGTAAGTCTGCTTCTGTTTTGATCTTCTTTTCCAATGCTTGGACGAGTGGATCATTTGGAAGAGTTATTACTTCTTCCTTTGATGTGAGCCTTGTGATGCATGTATCAGTTTTAGAGCTGCATATACATGGAAAAGAATATACATGCGTTGTCTCAGGGGAAAACATCTGACGAAGTACTTCTTGGTTTTGCGTCATTTCTCTCAATTGAGGATTCCAATCAAACATTTCACGCAATTGGGGATTGAGATTCATAATCTAAAATTACAAGCAGATTTTTAACAAATGGAAATAAGCAAATAACAATCTCTTTGACAGAAGTGATTCTTCAATGACCTGATTCATGTAATTGGGATTAGACATTATGCTATGCATCATCTGTGATACAGCTGGATTTTGCAACAATGGAGTCAAATGAGAAGTATCTGGCATTCCATTCAACATGGGCGACATATCTGGAAGTCCAAGGCCTCCCAAACCACCAATACCTGGTGTCCTAGCATCCCCAGCAGGATTTGACCCCCCAGAAGTATTGGTCTGGGTTCCCCCTGTCAATTTGCAGCACACAGTATTTCATCGGGAAATCTGGATTTAACAGCATACACAACAGTAGTGAATTGCATTTAAAGAAAACAAAAGGTTTAGATATTCTAGTTCACTTACTTTTCTTGCTGCAACTAAGGTAAAACATTAACTTTCTTTTCCTAAATATAAAGGAATCCCATATATCGGAAAACACCAGAACATACGATAAAAGAGATTTCATGATAATACAACAATAAACATGGACAACAAGTTATGATTACATAAGTCTCAAATAATCATTCATCCCACAAGTGAACAAACCTAGTATAACATCCCATTTTGAACATTTAAGATATTTTAGTTAAGTAGATATTAGTTTCATCATTCATGGAGTAATTATGGTAAAGCATTATTTTTCCCCTAAATATAAAGGAATCTCATATACAGGAAAACACAAAAATATAGGATCAATGGCGGATCTAGAAACTAAAATATAGGGGTTCAAAATTCTAATATTTTATTTTCCAAGAAAAATAGGTATGCAAATTTCTTTATTTTTTTCATTCCCCTTAATATACTAAATTAGATTTAATAATTTTTTCAAAAAAATGGGTATGCAATTGAACCCCATCAAAACCATATACATCCGCCCTCGCATAGGATAAAAGAGATTTCGTAATAATACAACAGTAAACATGGACAACAAGTTACGATTACATAAGTCTCAAACAATCATCCATCCCACAAGTGAACAAACCTAGTATGACATCCCATTCTGAACATTTAAGATAGTCTAGTCAAGTCGATATTAGTTTCATTGAGCAACTATGGCAAATTACAAGTGAAAATTTTTTTTCTATTGAAGGAAGAATCCCTTATTTATGTTACTATTTACTAAATGTCAAAAGAGAAGATTATATAATTCATAATCAAGCAAAATCATGGCAAAAACTATACTTCGATCAATCTAAACCAAATGGTTCACCCCACAACAATATGAACATAGTATAATGGTTTATCTGCCCATTGATCAAGTAGACATAACAAATTTACTTTGACCATCATCTTTCAGCATCATGCTTTTATTCCAGCATACACCTTTTTTTTCTTATCAATCATTAGCATTTAGGATTCAACCCTAACTTTCTAAATTGAAATACCATGTGCATAAAACTAATGTACATACTAGACACACATAAAAAAAGTGTCGATGAAGTACAGAATGATGAAACTTACCACCAACAACATTGTTGTTCCAGGGGTTAGGAAGAGGATTTGTGTTTGGCGAGGTTTGTCCCTGGGTGCTTTCAGAACCAGTTACAGAAGTGTTGATAGGTGAGCCCCTAGCTTGAGAACCACATTGATTGCCCAAAAGAGCAGCAAATGGGTTTGAACCTGGAGTATTTCCATTATTTCCAGCCATAGTCGTAGCATTCAAAAATGGCTCCTGAACATTTTCATACACGCGCCTAAGCATGTTAAATCCCTCAGGAGAGGATTCAATACCGCTCATAGCCCTGTCAGTGTTTCGCATCATTTCACGCATGAGTTCAGGATTCCTAGCAGCTTCCAAAGTCTGCCGCAGAATGCTAGGATCATTAACTATATGGCCAAGCTCTGGATTTCGATCAATAATCTCACGCATTTGAGGATCGCTCATAATCAAAGTGCGCATTAACTCAGGGTTATTCACCATGCTTTGAATAGCGGGTGTATTCATTATTTCCCTCATTATGTTGGGATTTTGAGTTAGTTGTTGCTGTACTTGTTCAAATTCGGGAAGACCAGATCCAAACAAACCAAAACTACCTCCATTACTGCCAAGCGGAATAAGCCCAGGCAATAATGATGCTCCCATACCAGCATCCTCATTAGAACCAACACCACGTGTGACCCCTGGTGTAGTATTAGGAGTTCACCACGTGTGACCCCTGGTGTAGTATTAGGAGTTCCAACATTTGTGGCAGCCGCAGGAGGAGGCGTTGATGGAGATGCAGCAAAACCACGAACCATATGAACAGTATGATCAGATTGCAAACCTTCAATAAGGTGAGAAAAAGTGAAATGGTCAAGTGATCAAGTATTTGTTCATAAATTTTAAAGCATGTATTAGACAATTTGTTGAACTATGTTTTATAATATTTTGATATGACAAATTAAGATAAAATATTTTTGAATTTAATTAAATTTATTCAAAGTTTTCAAAAATAATTCAAAGTACATTAAACTAGAATTTGAACACAAAACAATTTTCTGGGTATGTAGTATCAATACTGTTCTTATAATATCGGTATCACATGAACAATATCGATACTGTTCATGTGGTACCGATACCAAAGGTAAGAATAATATCGATACTCTCTTGGTAATATCGAGACTACCAGTTGTTTTTCAAATTGTTCAAATTCCATAATGCAAAATTGGTATTAATACTCAAGGGGTACCGATACTACTTTACACAGTGGTATCGATACCATGAACCTTAGTATTGATACTGATCGAGCCCAACGGTCTTTAACGACTAGTTTATTTAAATATTACAAAGGTAGTACTGATATTCATTAAAGGAGTACTGATACTCTCTGTTATGGGCAGTTTTACTTTTATAGAAAATTCATCCCCAATGGCTCCAAAACACCCAACGGCTAGAAACGACTACAAACTCATTCAAACATATTAAAACAAGTTGAAAACACTTGAAGAAAGTTACAACACCTATCCAATCAATAGAGATCAAGAGAAAAGCTCTTTCACTCTTTATTTTCCCTTTTCTCTTGTACATATGTGTTTGAGCTTGTTGCAAACTTTCAATTGTTTTTCTCGTGAGTTTAATTCTTGTAAACACCTATCTTCGTGAGGTTTTATTGTTTACATATTTTAACCTTTGTAAAAGGGGATTGGTTCTAGTTTAGCCATTGAAAAACTAAGGGTTTTGTAAAGGTTACTCTTAAGCTTAGAAAAAGAAAGAACAAATTAGTGAATTTATTAGAAAAACCTTAATGTGGAATTAAGGTAGTAGATGTAGACTTGATTTAGAAGTCGAACCATTATAAATTCCTGTGCAAATTGTCTATCTTTTTTAACTCTATACCTAAAATTTTCAAAAGACTAATTCACACCTCTTAACACTTTTTCAGTTGATCAATCGAGCTTCATCAATCCTAACACAGTTACTTTAACAGTCCCCTGAAAGTGATTTATCTTCAAAAGTAGGCATAACATACAGAACATTTATAACTGTAGGTCTTAAGATATCATGACATTGATTACTGGGATACTGAAAAATATTACATAACATCATTAACTTTTCAAAATATGTTGTTTAAAGATGGTGCAAAACCACGAACCATTCGAACAGTATGATCAGCTTGTAAACCTTCAATAAGGGTGAAGAAAGTGAAATGGTCAAGTGATCCATAAGTATTTGTGCATAAATTTTAAAGCACATAACTTTAACACTCCGTAGAAATAGATCATCTTCAAAGTATTACATACACAACACCTATAATTGTAGGTCTTAAGGTATCATGACATCGATTACTGGGCTGCTGAAATATATGACAACAAATCATTAAGTTTTCAAAAGAAATTGTTTAAACCGATCATGGCAACCATATACCTTGTTCAAAAGGTTTAGCAGGCCCATGCAAGGAACAATTTTTATCATCCATAAAAGGAAATTCACATGTCAAATCATTATTGTTTCATCAATATCGAACTTAATTCCTCGTGCTTTCTTGATACTTTCAGTACTTGTAATTCAATGCTGGTTTTTTATAAGAAATTTCACCGTTTTCATTGTTATTTTTCTTTATTTTCGACAAACAGGGAAAACGAAAAACAAAATGAAAACGACTATAATTTTTTTTCTTTTTGAAAAAAGAAATCCAATGGAAATAGAAACTTGCCATAACTTTGAAGTGTTTGGTCGTCCTTTAAGATTCTCCCTTTATAAATCAATCGTTGCTGATCAGCTGGAAAATCGCAATTCTGAGCAATAACAACTTTGAAAGATCCAACTGTTGAATCGAGCATGGTCCTAACCGCAAATTTTGTGCCATTAGAGCAGCGGATATTAACCATCACTCCTCTTCTTCTACTCTCCCACCATTGCCACCGAGTCCTGACTCAGTCGAATCGACATTCCCACCCATATTGTCCCTCTCTCGAATCGATCACAAAACCTAACCCTAGGAAAATATATAAATACGGAAATGAAATTTCCTTTCCCCTACCTTTTTTCTATAGTGAGTTGGTATTTCGTTTATACATTTAGGGAGTGAAAGTATTTTCATTTTAATAAAAGCTGAAAAATTAAAGAATTTGGAGGAAATTTCATAGAGAATCGTCGAAAAATAAAAGAAGAAGGATAATTAGATTTGGGGAAGTATGGGGATTTTCTCACAGGACACAGGCTTAGATTTTCTGAAACAAACGAGAGAAGTGGAAAATCCGGATATTCTTTTCTTTTCCTTTTTTCTTTAAAACAAAAGGATTTGTCGTAAAACCAATAGTGTTTCGCTACTATTATTAGACGTTTTACCAGGTTTGATAATATATCTGGTAGAAAAATAATGTTTTAGGTAGTGCTTTATCAGATATATTATCAAGCTCGGTAAAACGTTCAATAATAACAAAATCGGTAGAAATAATAATGTTTTAGGTAATTTTTTACCAGTTTTGTTATTTAAATAATAACAAGATGGGTAACGTCTTTTTTTAACCGTATATTAAGGGTGTCGCACTGTAGAACTTCCTTGCCACATACCTTACAAAATGGTTCGGCTTCTTTTTGTCTTCAATAGAGGCTTAGGTTAGGTAAAAATAGATAGTTGGTATTAACAATAAAAATTGAGAAGTTATTCGCTAGAAAAAATATAAAGTTAATTTCAATCATTTATTTTTACTCATCCAACGGTCATAAATTTGTATAAAACTAAATAATTACTACACGTTTAGTACTTCAACTATGAATTTTGTTCTGTTTTAATCATCTAACTATTTTTTATTTCAAAATCATACTTAACATTACGTTTTGTTCACCCGCCGTTAAAATTTAATAGAACTACTTACATGATTTTTTTAATTCAATGATGATGTGAAATTGTCTTATGATGATACGTCAGCATCATCGTTATTTTTTTAATGGTGGGTGACTAATATGAAACCAAAACGTAGGGTCAGGTATGAGTTTGAAACAAAAAATAGTTGGATGACCAAAACAGAATAAAAATTATAGTTGGGTACTACATGTGTAATTTACCCTAAATTATTATAATGTCACTAAATTATGAGATTTATTTTATTTAATAAAATTGTTTAGTGAAAATAAAATCGACTCATAGTTTAATGACATTAAAAGTAGTTTACCTTGTATATTTATTGTTCACTTAATGTTAGGTAGATCTTCTTTTTAATTTTTAATTTTTAATTTAAGATATTTAAATTAATATATTATATATGTAGAGAATATTTTCACACACATTCTTTTTTTTTTACAAAATTTCACACACATACTTGAAATGATGTTAAATGTCTCATTTAATTATATTTTTAATTTGGCATAATATCAAAAATAGCCCCCGATATTTATTAAACTTTTCATTTTGGCCGCTATTATTTTTTTGAGCATTTTGGCAATCAATGTTTCACTTTGGGGCTAAAAGCTTCATCTATAGATAAAAATCATTAGTTACGCACAATTAAATCTCCAAAATAGGAGCATTCTTAACCTAAAATGAAACATTGAGGGCTAAAATGCCCCCAGAAAAAAATAAGGGGAAAAGTGATTGTTCTATCAAATGTTAGGGGCATTTTTGTCCCAAAATGAAACGTTGGGGACCACAATACTTAAAAAATAGAATAGGGGCAAAACAATCCTTTTAGTAAATATTGGAGGCTACTTTTGGTATTATACCTGTTAATTTTTATATCCATAAAACAAGAGATGTATCATTATTTTAGTGAGATATATACTTATTTCACTTTTGAACCGCAAAACAAAAGTTATTTTTTATTGGTGGTTGACCTAAATAAGTAAGAATCAGAGCCTACATAATTAACATATGAAATTGAATATAATCACCATTATATTTCATTGATGTATTAAACTATGAATTGATTATCAAAATTAGGGGTGAACGCTTAATCGAGTCGATTAAAAATATTTCGAGTTATTCGAGTTGACGAGTCCTATTTTATAACTCGGAGTTGACTTGAACTTTTTTTGAGTCAAATCGAGTTTATAAAATTCGAGTAAAGTCGACTGGAGTCAAAATTTTGAGTTTCTATTTAAATTTAATTATAAATATTTACAATATTATGACATTATATTATTCCAATTTAAATGCTATTTTATAATCATATACAAAAAATATATATTTTTTCATATGTAATTTACATATACTGTAACATCATACAATCAGGGCTAGTGACTAAAATGTAAAATTTGAAAACTTTGTGTTCAATTTCGAAACAAGTTAAAAGCTCAAGGACTTAATTGGAGAATCTTGATGTAGGATTGATTAGTAAAGTTTGGAAGTATAAAGGGCATTATGATCTTTTTATAAGGAAGATTTTCATCTTTCCTTTTTGGGTTATAAAACACGTGGAAATGAGAGAGATTAAGAAGATAAAGTCTGGAGAGTTTGAGTTCAACTATCTTCTTATTCTTCTATTCCCGGGCAGTCATGAATAAGGTAAGTTGGTCTCCAGTTAAGGTTTTTCTTTTCATTTTTAAGTTGGTTTTGATTAATGGAGTGTTATTAAAGATTAAAGAAAGCTTTAGGTGGCTTAAAACTCAAATATGAACAAGTTATAAGAGATTAAGTAAATAGAGTTTTTAAGTGAATTATTGGAAAAAGAGTAAATGGATTTTTAAGTTGAATTTGACTTGTCAATGGTCTAATTAAGAAGTTAGAAGTAATATAAATGAATTACGAACATGTTGGAAATTTCATAAGATTCTTGATTTCAAGAATTAAGATGAGTTATTAAAGATAATGATAGGTTATATGGATATAAGATTATTTGAATAAGTGTAGTTAAGCTTAAAGGACTAAAAGGATACTATGGTAGAAAAATTAAGCAAGTTTGGTAAGATTTTCGGGTAAATTAAATGAATTCTGGGCATGGGGTATCAGTACTGTTCATCAAGTACCGATACTTCAAAGAGAAAACGAGTATTAATTGAAGCATAGGTATCGATATTGGTTGAATGAGTATCGATACCATAAGGCACAAATTTATATAATTGTTCAAGGAGTATCGATACCAAATGAACAGTATCGATATTGAGGGTATCGATACCATCTAGAAAGTATCAGTACCATTTTGAAATAAAGATGACAGAATCAAATTGGGGTATCGATACCGTGGAAGGGTATCAATACTACAAGCATAGGGGTATCAGTATTGTGCTTGTAGTACCGATACTACTTGAGCTGGAATTAGAGATTAGTGCTTTGATTAGATTGCAATAGTAAGAACCTTTTCAAATAATTTGAATTTCAATTTATTGAATTGTATATTCGTGTAGATAATGATCGAGAGCAAAGTCCGGACAACTCGACCAAGTAGTAGTCGTCGAGAAAGAGATAAGAGATCGATATTGACTAGTGAGGCCAGGTGAGTGCATACCATTGGTATATGATGTTTAATGGAAATAGGACTTGCAATGAGTCTATTTCCTATAGTAGTATGCAAGAATTCATAAACATGAGCATGTGTTTGATATGCATATATGTTCTATATGCGATTATATATGTTATATGATTGTGTGAATACATGTTAATTTGTTGAATCTATGTGATATGATATATATATATATATATATATATATATATGACAATAGGTGTAACATCCCAAAATAGGGTTAGTGACTAAAATATAAATTTTGTAAGCTTTGTGTTCAATTTTGAAATAAGTAAAAGTTCAAGGACTTAATTGGAAAATTTTGATGTTAGATTTAATAGCAAATTTTGAAAGTGGGAAGAGTATAATGGTAATTTCATAAGAAAGATTTTTATTTCTCTTTTATATAGGATATAACACGTGGGAATAAAGGGGCAAAAAGGAAAGAAAAGTCTGGAGACTGGGTTCTCTTCTTCTCCATCGTGGTCATGAGCTCCATTGCAAAGGTGAATCTTGGTAAGTTGATCATTTCTTGAGTTTTAAGCTTATTTTTTATTCTTGGAATATTAAGAAAGCTTAATGAGGGATTAAGGTGGGTTGAAACTCAAAGATTAACAAGTTATGAGAGATTGAAGACAAGAGGTTTCAAAGTGAAATCTTGGAAAAGAGTTGGTAAATAAGTTTTGAAGTGAGATTTGACTTGTCATCAGTCAAAATAAGAAATTCAAAGTAGAAACGAATTTATAACATGTTGATAAATTGGTAAGATTCTTGGTTTCCAAATTTAAGATAAAATATTGGATATTAAGATGAGTTAAAGTGTTATAAGTGGGCTAGAATAAGTGTAGTTAAGTTTAAAAGGCTAAAAAGAGGTTATATAAGAAGAATTAAGTAAAGTGTTAAAAAAATTTGGGCTAAGAAGCATTTTCTAGATAAAGGGGTATCAATACCTGTTGAGTAGGTACCAATACCACAAGGCAAATTATGACGAATTGATTCATGGGGTATCGATACCTGTATAAACAGTATCGATACCATATGGAAGGGGTATAGATACATATGTGGAGGGTATCGATACCTGGGGATCTTCGAAGCTAATTTTAGTATCGGTACCTGGGTAGGGTATCGATACCCTAGCATTGAGTATCAATACCGTGAGGGTGGTACCAATACCATTTAAGTTGGAAAGTTAAAATTGGAATTTTTAATTAGTTTATATTGATATGCATTGTAGTAAGTAATTTGAACTACGATATTTATTGGATTATGTATTCATGTAGATATCAATCGAGAGCAAAGTCTGACCAAATTGACAAGTAATAATCATCGAGGATAAGATAAGATATCAGTATTGACTAGTGAGGCTAGGTGAGTGCATATTAATTATTATATGATGATAAATGGAAATAAGACTCGCGATAAGTCTATTTCCTATATTATAATGCATAAATTCATGATTATAAGCATGTGTTTGATATGAGTATGTGTGGTACATGATATTGCAACTGTTATATGATTGTTGTTAATACATGTTATGTGAATATGATATAAACCATGTGATATTGAACTACATGACTATGTATGAATGGTATACGTTATATGATTTTAAAGTATGCGAATACATGTTTATAAGATAAATTATGTAATAATATGAGAATATG